AATTAGAAAGGATGCTAATCAAGAGATTAGGGTGTAGAGAAACTACATGGTTCTAGTTCTACTTTAATACCATGTAAAGAAATAAAGACGAGATTCATTTCAATACAGCGATATATTATTTGATATTGTATCACATATTTATATAAGGAGATTGCTTTACAATAGAAAAGAAGAATTCTGCAGATCTTCTATTCTAAGTAGGAAACATAATTACAATAAGAAAGCTAATATTTATGTATCTCCTATTCTAAGTAGGAGACTTTGATCTTTGATCTCTCAACATATCTTGGTAATGATAATTTGCATGTTGGTGATGGTAAGGGCCTTCTTATATCTCATCTCGGTCATACAAAAATATATACACCACATCGTTCTTTCACCTTATCTAATGTTTATGTTCTTGCAATCATGAAATCTTTACTCTCTATTAAGAAATTTTATCTTGATAATTATATTTATTTTGAATTTCACTCTTGTGTGTTTTATATCAAGGATCTTAACGCCAATGAAGTCCTTCTCTCAAGTCAGAGTAAAGATGGTCTCTACACCCTGACCAAGTTTTCAGTCACGTTAGTTCCTGAAGCCTATTGGTCTCACTACATTTCTGCTTCTATTGATTTATGGTATTGTTAACTAGGTCATCCTACTTCACGTATTTTTCAATTGTTAGTCTTGAAAAATAAGATCAATATCATTGTGTTTTTCTTTAGGACCTACGGGTCATAACATTTCTACTTCGCTTGAATTAATTTTTAGTAATGTATGGGGCCCTATTCCCTCTTCTTTTCAAATTGCTATTATTATTTTGTTATCTTTGTTAATGCTTATGCTAAATATGTATGGTATTGTCCTCTCATTGTTAAATATGATGTTTATTATGTTTTTCATCAATTTTAAACTCTTGTTGAACGTCAATTTTCATTAAAAATAAACTCTATTCAAACTGATTCGGGTGGTGAATATCGCAAACTGTCCATCTTCTTTTAGACCATTGGTATCCATTATGGTCTGATTTGTCCTCACACTCATGAACAAAATGGCACAATAGAGCGTCGTCATAGGCACATTGTGGAAACAAGTCTTACTCTTCTAGGGTAATGTAAATCACCTTTTTTGTTTTGGAATTATTCTTTTGAAACCTCTGTTTATCTTATAAATTGCATGCCTACTCCTATTCTTACCCATCGATCTCTGTTTGATTGTTTATTTTGACAATCTCCTGATTATTATTTTTTGCATACTTTTATGTGTCTCTATTTTTCTTTTCTACATCCATATAATAATCATAAATTAGATTTTCATTTCTCTCCATGTGTGTTCTTTGGTTATAGTTCCTTATACCTTGGTTATTGATGTTTTGACATTTCATCTCACCATATTTATATTTCTTGTCATGTCCACTTCCACAAACATATGCTTCCATTTGATAATTCTGAACAGATTACACAAGTCTCAAACTCAATCCCCACCTAACCTCCTACTATAACCCTCTCGATTATGCTCTACCACCCATTATTACCCACTACAAATAGCTATCCAAACAGCCACCTGCATTCAGCTTTGCTATTCCAGATAGCCACCTTACCACAACCTCCAACCCTCCCTCACCCATCATCCTATGCATGTTTATCTAACCATTATGGTGCAGGTTTAGCTCGTTAATTGGTCTCATCTCCTCTTGGTCTTAGGGCACTACCTAGTCCCTCCTTTGCTTCGCCCTCATTGGCCAGTGTTCCTGTAGATTCAGTCTCTGCTTACAATCCCTCCTCTACTGACAGTCTTGTGCTTGTGGCTGCTTCTTCATCCTCTTCTCCATCTGGACTGCAACTTATGGTTGATCTATCTTCTTATCAGTTGCCACCATTTGCCCCTGCGTCTCCACTAGCAAGCAGCAGACATTCTATGATTCTTAGATCACAACAGCTAAAGATAGAAAATTTGTTTACTTCAGCTACCGCCACCCCTGCCTCCACATAGGTACTACACTCCCTTTTCTGAGCCTTTTCTATTTTTTAATGCTAACTGGTATGCATTTTGGCATACTATTATGTGTGATAAGATCGTTGTTTTGCGCTCTAATCATACTTGGTCTTTGGTTCCCTTTCATCTTTTGATGAATGTTGTTGGTAGAACATGAGTATGTCAAATCAAACATCGTATTGATGGTAGTATTTAATGCTATAAAATGCACCTTGTTGCTGGAGGTTTTACCTAGCAGGAAGACATTGATTACTCTAAAACCTTTAGTCTAGTTATTAAGGAGGCCAACGTCCGATAAGTTTTCTCTATCATGATTTCATGAAATTAGAAAATTCATCAGCTTGATATTCATAATACCTTCCTCAATGACGTTCTTATTGAAAAGGTTTACATGAAATAGCCTCCAGGTTTTCTTGACTCTTCTCTTCCATCTCATGTGTGCAGATTGTACAAATCATTGTATGGTTTAAAACAGGCATTGCGAGCATGTTATACTCGTCTAAGTGATTTTTTGCTCTCTATTAGTTTCCGAGCTTCCAAGGTTGACACCTTTTTGTTTATCTTATTTGATGGTACTAATATCTTTTATCTCTTGGTATATGTTCATGATATTCTACTTACGGGTAGCAACTCTGCCATGCTTCATCACCTAATACAGTTACTAAGCTTTGAGCTCAAGCTTCGTGACTTAGGTGTTGTTCACTACTTTCTAGGTATTAAAGTTTAATCCACCAGTATGGGTTTAATGTTACGTCAACATAAATATATTCTTGACATCCTCACTAGCACTGGTATGACTTTCTACAAACCCGTTGATACTCTAGTCTCTTCTTTAAAAGTTACAATATTGCTATATCACTCATTCTTTAATCCCACATGATTTCATCATATCGTGGGTGCTCTTTAATAACATACCTTCACCCATCTAGATATCTATTTTCCTGTTAAGAGAGTCTATTAGTTGATGCATGCTCCTACTAATTCTCATTGGGCCATTGTTAAACGTATTCTACGCTATCATAAAGGTATGACATCTTATGATTTTCATATTACTCGAGACTCCTCTTTTGCTCTACATAGATTTGCAGATACAGATTGGGCTAGTAGTATTGATGATAGCAAGTTTATGGGTGGTGATCTTATCTTTTTTTATCAGACACAAATTTCTTGGAGACAAGCAATGCACAATTGCTTGCTCCTTTGTTGAGGCTGAGAGTGTAAAGCCCTTGCTGATGTACTACTGAAGTCATTTGGCTTTAATACTTGTTAACAACTTTGCAGGTTTTCTTAGTTTCTACTCCTACCATTTGGTGTGAAAACCTTAACGCAACCTATCTCTCTGCAAATCCTATCTTCCATTCCCGTAATAAGCATGTTGAAGTGGATAATCACTTTGTTCACGACCGCATTGCCAAGATAGAAATTCAGATTTGTTTTGTTCCTTATCGGGATAAACTTGCAGATGTCTTCACTAAACTGCTTCTTGTTGCCTCCTTTACTACTTTTCTGTTCAAGCTACGAGTCAATCCCCAACCTCAGCTTGAGGGGGTATATTATAGAATGTATAGTATGTATATATCTAAATAGGAAATTAATATAGGATTATTCCAATGTTGTAATCCCTATAGTTACTGTCGTGTTCTACCACGTATATATAAATAGGAAGGTTGGCTAAGGCACAACCTAACACATTATATTATTCTCAACTTAAGATAATTTGGATTTGTATTCCAAATAGTTTTTTAAAATTTTAATTTTTTTGTTTAATTTTTTTGTATTTTTGTAGTTTTGGATTGCTTTAATGAATTGATGTAAAAAATAATTTATTTAAATAAAAAAAATATTATTTTGATATATTTTTGAGTGAAAAGTATTTTGAAAAATAATCACTATTATATTTTTAAACACCCTCTAAAGTACCTATTATGAAATTTTATTGTTAATGAAGAGGAGTCGAATTTAGCTATGGACAGTCAAATGAACGAGACTGTTCGGGGATATGGTCCAACCTACGTTTCCAAAAATTTTGAAAATTGTTTTGCTTAAAATTAATTTGTTTTAGTGTTTTTGAATTTTTTTGATGCGCTAAAAATGTTTTTGCTTAAAATTAATTTTTTTAATGTTTTTGAAGTGTTTTGATGCGCTAATATCAAAAATATTTTTTAAAAAATATTATTTTAATATATTTTTTAGTGGAAAGCAACCGCAACCACACTCTCAAACACTTTTAAAGTCAACTTTTCAATTTTTGTAGGTTTTTTAATGTTTAAAAAATATTAAAATGTCCGGTAATAATGCCCTACATAATAATTATTATATAAAAAAGTATACCTAATAAGTTTTTATTTAATTGGAGTAAAGATATTGACTGAAAATATCTAAAAACAATTTTATAATACTCATTCAATCCTATTAATTAATTTATCACATCATCATCCTATATCCCCAGCAACTCTAAAAAGATATCAATTTTATTAAGCTTTATCTCTTTCTTTTATGCACACTAAATCCCTACACCTTGGATTTGCTTTATCCATTTCATATGTTTTTTAAATAGAAAATATGGCATTGATTTCATATTAATTATCCTTTTACCTGAAGGTAGCTAGGGTCATATTAAAAAAAAATATATTAATTTTTAGATGTGGGGTGTTTGTCAATATCGATTTATGTATACCCAATATTCAAGTGATGTTAATGATTTCTGCTATTAATTAAAGTAATTAATGATTTCTACTCTTAATTAAGAAGTAACTAGCTATTCGTATCTTGTTCAAGCTAGAGCACTTGATTTTTTTTATTTATTTTTGCATGCTGTGAGATGTTAAATGCGTGGGGAATAGAGATAGCTTCAATATATATGCTTTACTAGTTCCATTAAAGCTTGAAAATGCTAAAGAGAAGAAAAGAAAGAACCATGAACTGTAATTTGTACGACTTCTTGAAAGTGCAAAAGCGAATGCATTAATAAATTTGTATCTGAAAATGATATTGCTTATTATCGATTTGAATCACACGACTTGAAAGAAATGACAATCCAAACAGTACAACAGTACATATATATGGCAAACCAATCCACACTGTTAATGGTGAAAACAAAAAGATGAAGGAAAAAAACAGTTCTTATGTGTATGATCAAGTTTTAAGGGTATTATAGCTAGGGTGGCTTTTGAGCAGCTTCAGTTGCCTAAACCTGGTTTCTCTTTTGTTCTGCTAAGTAAGCTTGTATGGCACTTACTGCAATGCCATAAATAAAAGAGTACTTGACCACTGCTCTAGAAAAAGGACCCTTATTTTCAAGGATCCATCTCTTGACACTGCTTCTATAATGCGATTCAACAGAACTTTTGACCGCATTGTAAGCAGAAGGGTTGGGCGCCAGATTGGTTGTTATCTCTTTGAAGATTTGTGCTATCTGATCGTCACTTCCTATAGTGGTGCGGAGTATTCCCTTTGACCGCAGCTCCTTCACATCTTCAGGTTTATCAATCAGTGAACGCATAAAGCATACATATGAAGTGCACTTTTTAGAATACCAACCACCGCATGTTTCAAAGGCTGCCAAGTTCAAAAGTAAGGGCTTGGTTTCTTCTTCTATGCTTAGTGGAGGAATGAGGAGTGCTCCACCGAGCAATGTATTTTTGAACTTGACATCAGTGAAAACACGGGTGTTGCTTGGCATAAAAGAAATTCCAACGTTCTTAAGCTCGTTGACAGAATAATACCGGTTCCAGCTTTTGATCTCCCGGTACCTTCTTCTCCCTCGTTCACGTTCTCCTTCGCCGTATACGAACTTCCAATAAAAAAAATCGAGAAGATGATCGAAATCAAAGAACATACTCATGGATCCTGGGGATTTCGAAGTAATTGATCTTAATTTTCTTGGCAATTCTGAAAAAGAATTGGATATCTTTTCCCAACACGACTCTCTTTGAGGAGGTATTGCAAGAATGTCTTCGAAGAAACGTTCAAAGATTTTCATCAAATCTTGATCTTCACTTTCCGAACTCAGCTTCTCGGAAAATTGAAATAAAAAATGTTTAGTTGAAATTTTTATGATGCATGCAAGTTATGAATAATATAAATAATTTAATAAAAAAATAATTAATTTAGCAGGTTCCTAAACTAAATACAAAAGAACTAAAATCGACGGCACAAAGTAGATAAGTTTTAATTACTTACTTGTCGGGACGAAGACTTATCCTCCCCAGCAATGTTATCCCCTTTCCTTTGATAAAACCTAAGTTCATCAACAATTATATTTTTGTTGCTAAGATTTTATCAAAGTAAAAAATTCTAGTTTATGTTCATGCTAAATCACATCTAGTTAAATTAAACATTAGCATACTTGTAACCAACAACCTCATCAATGACATAAGAACGTCGAAAGGGAGCTGGTTCTCTAGTAATAACAAGTCCCTTGCAACGAAAGTAACTTCTTCATTCCTCAGCTTCTGATTCTTAAGCTTGTTGGTGAGAAACTGGTGAATGAAGTAGCTATCAAGAAACATCATCAGGGTGAATTTCTCATCGTTGAACTGACCGGTTGACTCCTCTGCATAGCATTCCCTAGCATGGCTGGCCAAATCTTTGACCTTGTTGTCCATTTCTTCAGCTGCCATGCTACTATCTTTGACAAACTGGCGGGCCATTTTAGTCTTGAGGCTTTCCATTTTCTCGAGCTCTTTTTTCCCATGGTGATAGGGACCGATGGAGACCACCTTTGGCTCATAGCAACCCATGTTCTCATTCATTTCACGAAACTCTGGTGGGACCCTTGGAATAACTGTCTGTTGGTCGGGAGTTCCGTCTTGTTCCGGACTTTCGGTCATCAAGAAGTGCAGCCACGAATCAGAACTACGGCTAAGTGAAGAGCTATGTGAAGGGCCCTCCATATTTAGTGCTATAGACATTGTTAGGACGTATACTCACTAATGATACGCAAGTTCCAGTTCTAGATGACGATCATCAACAGAGGGATACTATATATTAAATAGAACTAATTAATATTAATTTACGCCAAGTGATTGATCGACCTAGCTTGAAAATGAAGTAGCTTTTAGTTTGGAACAAGTATTTTAGCTTACTTGGAAGTTGAGCTTAATTACTTTGAGCCTATTTGAATTCTCGTTGTACAGTATTGTGCTGCACAAGGATTTGATTGTCCCTTTTTGTTCATCGTGTTATGTTGCTTTATGCCAGGAATAAAATTTAAAAGAAAATCAAGAGATTAATAAAAAAGACACCATAATACCCAAATGGCTAATACAAAACTCAAAGGGTCTGTCAAAATAAAGCACAGACACATGAACCTAAGAAATTAAGTCTAGCGGGTTTGGACTATTTTTTTAAATTTTTTATAAAAAGTAGATGATAGCTCGTATTTTTTTTTTTTTAAGAGAGAGAGAGAAAGGTTGTCTATTTCCTTAAAATTAATAAAATTCTCTCTCGTCGTTCTTATTATACACAAATGTTAACCACTGAGCTATGATATGAAGTTTAAAGTTGTTAATCAAACAATTAAAAAAATATATTAACTTAATTAGTGTTTATATGATTAGTTAAATTGAGCCCATGTTTTTTAGTTGTAGTCATAATAATTAGTAAAAAAATGAGATTATTATTTTAAATTTTAAATGTCACAATTTAATATAATTCTTATACCTGTATTTATTTTGGTTGTTTATGGACTATGAATGCAAAAAGATTACAGGTTTAGAAATGCAAGGAATGGAGAGGGAGCTTAATTTGCCTTTTCAATACTAAAATTAATACCAGTTTGTACCAAATAATTCTTATTTATTTGAATTTACATGTTAGTTTCTTTTTTCTTCATAAATTTCCACACCATTTAAATTGTTAAAGAATCATTTTAATTTAAAAATTTAAACTCTAACATAAATCAGTAGTCGTGTTTTAATGCCATTTTGGAAAAAATGATCTTTGTTTTAGAAAATAAGTTTGCAATACCTACCCTCTTTAAGGAATTAAGATTTACAAAACACACTAGTTTGAAAATAAAATCAAGAACTAATGTAGAATTTTTCTAAACCAAATAACCTCTGAAATTATGCAAATATAGATGAAGTATATGTCAATGATTTAATTAAATCATGGTTATCACATCCATCCAATCTTGAATTTAATTCAATTTAAGAATTCAATCCACTTGAGTCATTAAATTATTCCGTCTAACATTTTTGTCCAAAAAAAATAAATTTTCAATCTTTTTTTTCTACCAAGCAACAGTAATTGAACTGCAAGTCAACAATAATTTGAAATGAAATCTAACTTAAATCAGATTTTAAATTATTAGATTATTATATCAATTCATCATGTTTAATAACTATGAATAAATTTAATATCCAAGAAAAGTTAATAATTTCTGGTTTTTATTTAGAAGTAATTAGTTGTTTGAGCTAGACTCGATTTTTTTTATGCGGTAACATGTGAAATAAATGGTGAATATATATAATGTTATGCATGCATGGCCCTCCAAAATTGTTCGGAAAAGAACTTTAATTTGTTCTCTCTGCTCTTTATATATAACTTTTTATAGAGTATTGGATAAAGAACAAGCTGTCTTCTTCTTTCCATTCTTTTTCCAGCTAATATAGAAGTCATCCCTGCCACTTATCATGTTTTTATCAATCTTGTGTTAAGCAAGATCAGACAGAATTTCTTTTCGCCCTTTTAGAGAATCAACCAGTGTTACAAGCAACTGCATAAATAAAAATAAAAAGAAAGAATCATAAATGGGAGTCACATTTGAAACCTTCATGATTGTGTCTGTGTACTCGTCATGAGTAAAACATATTTTTTAATGTAAAACAGAGAAATGTCCTCCATTGAAAAACATAAAAATGAGTATCATACACCTCTTCGTATAATGTATTTCAAAGTTTATGATATTTTAGGATCAACTAAGAATTGAGTTCATGCTTCGTTCGGTATATGTTTATGAACTCCTTACTTTGTTTTTAAAACATTCTACTTTTTTTCCATGAAAAAAAACTTTATTTATTGTATTTTTATTATCTTTACACTTGATCATTTGATGGTACTAATTAAACTTGCTGAACTTTTTCTTTGCTTCGTAATTTTTGTTAATTGAATTGATGACATAGCGTAAAATGTAAACAAAAATTAGGATTCTCAAAGCTCTAAGCTTATAATCATAACACTCCAGTTATTTATATAAAAGCTATAAAAACTTATCTAACTAAAGAATCCAAAGTTAAGGAAATAAATTCAAATCCAAAATTAACGAGGGAAAAAACCTAAAATAGAAAAAACAACAATTTATGTGCTCCGTTGACCTACAAAATATTTTATATTGTTAACTCGATCTTTAGAATAATTTGATCAATTTCAAGCTCATTAATCTAACAATCAAATCTTCTACTATCGTTATTATAATCATATTTTAGATGCATTTAACTTCTTTTCAGACTTATTCATATCTCACAATTGTTCAGTTGAACTTTGCTTGTTTTGATTAAAGAAAAGATGTTCATCATGAGTCATGATCTTATTAAAGCGGTTGTTATGTAATTTTTTTAGATGCATTTAACTTCTTTTTAGACTTAGTTATATCTCACAATTGTTTAGTTGAGCTTTGCTTGTTTTGATAAAAAAAAATATATATATATTCATCATGAGTCATGACCTTATTAAAGCGGTTGTTATGTAATTTTTGTTTCTGTGAAGATGAGCCGAATTTAGTTGTTGTGAGTGAAATTGACATTTTAGTTTATTTTTTTTATTTTTTAATATTTAAAATATATTAAAATGTCTCGTATGAATGCCCTATCTGTTGGATCTTTCAAGCAATTAAACACATATAAATTTACATGGTTTGACAACTTACTTACTCTAAGGAGCTACTGGTTTGTAATAATAACTCAAAGAAATAATAAAAACAACAGAGAAAGAGAAAAACTTCTCAACTCAACTCTACTAACTCTAGCTCTCTTTTCTGCTCTCTCTTCTTCTTCGTGTTTTTCACTCTCACTCCCGGCTCTTCACTAAGCATATATATATATATATATATATATATATACACACACACACTAAGCTAGGAGTGAAGGGCATGGGGCATAAATCATGTCATGATTTATGCCACCAATTAAGCCTCCATTATATGTCAAGTAGAAAATTAGGTATTCTCATTTACATATAATGGAGGTGGGACAATGTTTGTCTCCACTTTCTAGCAATCTCCCACTTGGAGACAAACAATGAAATTATCTTTTATCCTTAAAGACCAAAAGAAGTTTTACACAACTTTAGTTTATTAAGTGTAACTCTATTACTTAACATGTCAGCAGGATTCTTGCTTCCACACACCTTTTCTAGCATTAGTTATTCATCGTCTAGCAATTGTCGGATGAAGTGATATTTGATATGAATATACTTGGTCCAGGAGTGAAATACTGGATTTTTGCCAAGGAATATTGCACTCTAACTGTCGCTATATAAAGTACCTTTTCCATTCACCTTACCCAATTCTTTCAGGAAACTCTACAACCATATAATCTCGTTTGTAGATTCTGAGACTACAACATATTCAACTTTTTTTGTTGAAAGAATGATGATCTTTTTGCAAGGTAGAACTCAGGAAACAGTGGTGCCTCCAAGAGTGTATATATATCCTATAGTACTCTTTCTACTATCAATATCTCTTGTTAGATTAGCATCTACAAAACCTTCAAGTTTCAAACCACCAGCTATGAAGGTAACACAAGTTTCTAATGAACCTTTTAAGTACCTTATGATCCATTTTATTGCTTTTCAATGCTACTTTTCAAGATTGCTCATATATTGGCTTACAACTCCCACTACATGGACAATGTCTGGTCTATTACAGACTATAGCATACATCAAAGAGTTGATAATTGAGGTGTATGGAACCTTATCCATGTATTCATATTCTAGCTCAATTTTTGGTGACTAGTCTTTACTGAGCTTGAAATGATTCCCTAGAGGTGTACTTACTAGTTTAGCATTTTTCATATTAAACCTACTGAGAACCTTTTTGACATACTCTATTTGTGAAAGCTTTAGTATGCCTTTGTCTTTATCTCTGATGATTCTCATGCCAATTATTTATTTAGCAGCTCCTAGATCTTTCATCTTAAATTGTTTTGACAATTGTTGTTTCCAACTTATCAATCTCTTTAATACTGGATCTTACAATTAACATATCATCCACATATAATAGTAGAATGATGTAGGAGTTGTCAAAATATTTCACATAACAACAATGATTAGCCTGGCATCTTGTGTACCCCGAACTACATATGAAGTTGTCAAACTTGTTGTACCACTGTCTTGGAGTTTGCTTCAAACCATATAGGCTTTTCTTTAGCTTACAGACTTGGTTTTCCTTTCCTTATATTGCAAACCCCTCTGGTTGTTGCATGTAAATGTCTTCCTCCAATTCACCATGAAGAAATGTTGTTTTTACATCTAATTGTTCAAGATGTAAATTTTTTGCAATTATTATCCCTAAAACAACTCTGATTGTTGTGAGTTTCACACTCAGAGTAGTCAATCCCTTTCTTTTGTTGAAATCATTTTACAATAGGTCTTGCCTTGAATCATTTCCTTTCATCATGCTCAGTCTTTATTCTATAAACCCACTTGTTTTACAAAGCCATCTTTCCTTTAGGTAGTGTGGTTAACTCCCAAGTTTTGTTCTTTAATAACGAATCCATCTCGTTCTTCATAGCTAACTCCCATTTGCTTGAGTTTCCATCTTGTAAGGATTCTTCATAAGTTAGCGGTTCACCACTATCTGTTAGCAAAATATAATTCAGTAGAAGTGTGAACCGTTATAGGGGCTTTACAATCCTTGAAGACCTGCGAACATAAATAGTTGGTTCACTTGTCTCCACATCTTATGTAGTAGTGGATACAGATGTGCTTGAATCTTCTTGTAAAGACTCTTGATTTTTTTTCTGCTCGAT